ATACCCCCTTTTCAAAACTGTTCTTCAGAGGGGCTGAGCTGGCTGTTAAAATACAGTGGCCGGTGCATGGGACTCTCCTTGGGACTCCCCCTGATCTAGGAACTGAAGGGGAGATGCCTGGCTCCCCAGGGCCCTGGTCTCCCAACGCTGCTCTAAGCCCGCGGCCAGCACACAGTCAGGATGGCTCATCACTCGTTTGAATGTTATTCCTACCTTCTTTCTCTCTCCGGATATGAACCATTTGAGAAATAAGAGAAAGACTAAGGTGGACAGATTGTCATCGGTGGAATTATAAATGAATTATAATTACAGGTTGCATAATTATACGACTTCAGCTCTCATTAAAGATGAAAGCGAGTCTCAGGGACAGCTGTGTGTGACAGGCACTGACGCGCGCAGTGGCTGCGGTGCAGCGACAGGGCAGGCCTCGCCCCACCGCCCTCCTCAGCTCTCTCCGCTGGGGGACAGGGCCTGCTGCTGGGGACAGCCTGGAGCTGGTGCGCTCTGTGGGCCGGGCTGGGACTAAGGCCTGAGGGGGAGGCACTCACTTCAAGTTGGGAATTGAAGTGGTGCCCCAAAAGCCTCAGTGATCAAGATAAACAATATTTGGACAATTATTTTTAAAAATCAGCATTAATGCAAAAAATCCATGATGAGCCAAAAAAGCCCCCAAAATTTAAAAATAAAAACAGAGTCCGTGTGAGTGACTTCTCCCCTCATTCCAGGCTCCAGTCTGGTTCAGCGGGCACTGTTCCCGCACCCCTCTTAAGTTTAGTGCCTGAGGCAAATACCATCTGATTTCCCTTATATGTGGAATCTAATGAACAAAATAAACTAACAAAATAGAAACAGGCTCATAGATGCAGAGAACAGACTGACAGTTATCAGAGGGGAGGGGGGTGGGGTGTGGGTGAGAAAGGCGAAGGGATTGAACAAGAAAACATAGACAAAGACAGCAGTGTGGTCACTACCAGCGGGAAGGCGGGGGTCAAGGGTGAGGTAGAGGAGGGAAAAGGGGGGATAAATGGTGGTGGACGGAGACTTGACTTGGGGTGGTGAACACACAATGCAGTGTACAGGTGATGCATTATAGAACTGTACCCCTGAAAACTGTAATTTTATTAATCAGTATCACCCCAATAAGTCAATAAAAAAGAAAAAAATAATAAAAAGATCCTATCAGTACGCTGTTCCCCCCCCCCCCGCCTTAAAAATTTAGAGCCTGAGGCCAGTGCCACCCTCACCTCTACCTACTCCTTGCCCAGGCAGTTCTTCCCAAAGTTAGAGTCCTTTCGGTCACTTACTTTGTCCTGGGTGAAGTGAGTAAAAGGATAGGATGTTATACCAACTGAACTTCCTCCGCATGGAAGGAATAAGCTCAAATGGAATTTAGAAGCAACATTCTCTCTAACTAAAACTGTCCAGTTATTTTCTAGAGAGGGAATATTAGCCATCTAAGAGGGAAGTTCAGAAGCATAAATGAAGGGTTCAAAGTTAAGGGAAGTCTACGCCTAGTTAGAGTAACACATTGTACAGTGCGGTGTGAAGGTACCTGGCTCCGAGAGGCCGCTCATTGCCTTGATCTGCTTGGCGAGGTCTGGTTTCATGTTCTCCGCCACATCCTGGCTGCTCCTGGCCCAGGAGTGTCCACATCACCGGGGAGATGGACAGAAATGCAAACTCTCAGGCCCCACCTCAGACCCATGGAGTCTACCTGCGTTTCTTTCACAAGCTGATTTATACGTCCTTTTGAAATCCACTAAACCAACTCCATCTTTCCTCCTCTTTCAGGGGCTTCGCTTAGGTGCTGGTCTTAAAGTAGGAGAGGGATGAAATTGATCATAAGATAAAGGGTCGAACTTTTAACGTTTTTAACAAAATTCAGAGGGCAGGCTGGTCAACTCTTTTCTGTCCATGGCTTTGTCTTCATAGTCATGACGACTTGAAACGATTGTTTTCTTCAGTGAACGGTGACATTGTCATCCTGGAACTGATACGCCTAACTTCAGAATCTTTTTGGTATCGAAATCTCTGCACCACTAGCTCTTTGCTCTTACCTACAAAGTAGAAAGAACTTCAGTAAATTTATTTTATATCAAAACTTTCCTGAAGTATTTCTTCTGAATACATTTTTGTGGTATTTTCTGGAGAGCTTTGCTCACCAACGTTGGAATTTATTTGTATTTGTGAACTTTAAAGAAAAAAACATAGACTCAAGTGTGCTAAACAGTCATGTGAAAGTTGAATGGCTGGTGATTTCTTTATTTTTCTATTACTCTTTGTAAACTGCTGATTCATAAATTGAGGACATTTAGATTTTAGTGGGATTTCACAATCATTAGAAATGTTTTATATACAATGACATGGAAGAATATTTGGGAGACAGTGCTGAACAAAATGCATAAGCTTTAAAAGAAAAACTCAAGACATGTATCTATTATATACATATATTAATTCATATATTATAAACAATCCTGCCTTTTGTTTCACTTAACAACGTGGCAGACTATATCAAGAGCCTTAAAAGATCATATGCTTTGACTCCTTTGTCTCCCTAATGCTTTTACTCCCAGGAAGTTTTTCCAAAGGAAATAATCAAAGGTAGTCAAAGATTGCAAAGATGTTTAGCTCAGTGTTGTTTATAAAGGAGAAAAACAGAAATGATTTAAATGTCGCTTATCCTGTTACACATTTATTGTATTTAAAAAATTACTTGGAATGCTTTGACGTATGAATCATTTACTTTATTCAGTTTTTATCAGGGGTAGGGCTTTGTGTGTGTGTTTGTTTAATCATCTTTTATGTACTTTGGAAGAGGGAACTCCAGTAGTAAAAGCTCGGTCTATTGAATCTAATAAATCTGTTTATACAAATAACTTTATGATTTTTATTAAATGTTTCTGTTTGTAGTGCTCATATTTGCTTATTCCAGAATCTCATACATGAGTATTGGCCTTCACGGAAGCAGAAAGGTGTAGCATATTTAGCGCTTTTTGAAATTATTCCCCTACATATGTCTAAAAAAATGAATAAATGTATTTCTCAACGTAAACATTTAGCTTGAATGTATTTCACACCCAAGGACTAAACATATTAATTTGTTTCATGAAAGCTTTTACTAAGGTGTTTGCCAAAAAATATTTCAGCAATTTCTTTATTAAGTAAAGAGTTATACTGGAGAAAAATGACTAGTTTACATTTTTCTGTCAATATCTAAATCATATGGCACCTCTTAGGATTCAGAACGCCTTTTTGAGTGTGCGTGCGCACGCGTGCTTGTACGTATATGCATGAGAGCTGTCGAGGTGAGAGCGTTGCACCCTTCTCCCTCCAGGAAGGGCTGGAGTCAGGATGAGCAGCGAGAAACACACAGCACTGTCCCCGCAGAGACGGCTCCTCTCAGTCCTTCCATCGTGTGCATCCACGTGGTGGCGGTATTCAGGACACCGAAATTTGAAGGAAAGGTGGCAAAATTGAAAAAGAAGTCCACTCTTAATTCACAGATTTATAGGTTGCAGATTGTCTTTGTTTTTTTTTTTTCTTACAGAGATGGTATATCTTCAGAACAGAACTCTGACATCGGATCGCCACTACATATCAGAATTAGAAAGTGAATTCAAGTGAACATGTATCTGTGGACTTACCCGCAGTCCTAGCTTGAACATTTGGGCCTTTCTTAAGCACTGCAGTACGATTAAAAACATAAGGAAAATTTAATTTACAGAAACCCTTGGATTTGAAAACTTTCAAGAGTTGTTTTTAATGATTTTTTTAAGCCGTGCAATTCAGTGGTTCTCCGTATATTTACACCATTGTCCGACCATCACCGTGCTCTTTAGAATATTGTTATTACTCTCAAAGGAAGCACTGTCCCAATTAGCAGTCACGCTTCCCTCCTACCCTCCTCAGCCCTGGAGACCCACGAGTCAACTTTCTGTCCCTGTAGACTGGTCTATTCTAGACATTTCATGTAAATGCTATCATGTAATATGTAGTCTTTTGCAACTGGCTTCTTTCATTAAGTATTATGTTTTAAGCTGTGATGTTCTATCCATGTTGTCTGTAACCACACTCCACTCCTTTCTGTTGCGGAAGAATATATCAGTTGTATGGGTATACAACATCCAGCTATCTATTTACCATTTAATGGAACTTTGGGTTATTTTTACTTTTCTGGCTCTTATGAACAATGCTTCTATTAAGAATCATGTACGTTTCTGTACAAGTCTTTGTGTGGACATTTGTTTTCATTCCCCTTTGGCAGGTATTTAAGAGTAGAATTGGTGTGCCATGCAGTAACTGTTTAACATTTTTAGGAACTTCCGGTAGAGTACCACTTTAACTAATAAGAATCACTAACTTTTTTTTTTTCAACTTTGAAATGGAATATGTTTGAGCTAGAGAATGAGAACAGGGAAAGGGAAATGGTAATGCCCTAAATCCTCATTGATCTTTAGCTCATTTGCTGTGCCTTCCAACTCTGTCTGGTAATCGGTCACCCTGAGGGAAAGCAATAGCGACCCTTCTGAAAAAACAAAAAAGACATTATTACTAATTTTGTTGGGACAACAGGAATGTATTGGGACTGTCCTAGACAAACCAGGACCAGTGGTCACTATTTCAACCAACAAGAAGAAAACAATATTATCAGACTTATCTTTCTTCTCTTTTATGACAAGAATCACTGAGAGTAGGGAGGAGGCTGCTAAGATGTGATGTCAGTCACGGGCAATTGTGGTGGTCTCTGCCTTCCATTCTGCCCCATTCCCTCACATGAAAAGGTGTCTTTGAAAAGGAGTGATCCTTCTGGAGCTCCAGTGGTGCAATCAGTGAGCACGGGGTACTTGTATAAAAAAGGGTAATACTTTAGCTAATATTTGAATTACCCATTTCCATAGTCGTAGGTTCTAAATGGAAAAACAAAGCGATTGAAATGAGTCAAGTGGTGACTTGTTAATTTTTCTAACATGTCCTTGAGTTAACCATTTTATTTTTTCCAGGAAACAGCTTTAAAACACCTTACACTAAGAACATTTCAACTGTCCTGAAAAAAGTAGAAGATGGACAATTTTTCCTTCTTCCTCATTTGAAAGGATTTACAGAAGAAATAAAACAGCAGAAGCTCAAAGTTCCCATTCATGATGAATGATTATAGTTCTGAAGACAAGACAGAAGATGAACTGCAGTCCTTATTTATCAGTGATAAAAATGGAAACACTTACGCATACAACCAAAAGTCACCACCTACACAAAACTGTTCGACCGACAGTTGGAATTCTGCCAACCCAGATGACATGGTGGTTGATTATACAACCAACTCCCCCGTGGATATTGGGGAAAGTATTTCCTTAAACCCTTCGTGTGCTGAAGTACTTGATCACCAAGAGTCTTCAAGTGATTTCATTAGTAAGGAGGTATTATATATGCATAAAGATTCCGCATATCCGTCTTCCGCGCCTGTTGTAAATACGGAGGAGCCCAAGTACCTGCATAAAAGTTGTCATTCCCCAGAATCAGCTCAGGACCACCAGAGTGTTGAGACCTCTTGGCCTCTTGCATGGAAACCTAATGATGTGGATTTGAACTATACAGACTACCCAGCTGCCTTGCAGCTAAATCAAACGTTTGACAGGAAAGTGGATGACGCTAACTACACCTTTATTAAACACCACACCATTGGAAAGAGTCCGTCTTTGCATGCCTCCGGAAGTCTGCCACCATCTGGCTTGAGAAGTGGAAATACATCTTTATCCTGTTCCATTCATACATCTTTCCATTCTGATACGGTACATGTGACAGAAAGGAGTCATGATAGAGACATCTTTAAATACCCTTCAACCACGGCATCAGAGGCCCTGGAGACAACTTACATGGCATTTTCTGAGGTGGTGATGCAAACGGATGCTTTTGTTCCAGATACTGGAAATGCATGTCAGTATTCTTCAGGAAATGTCACCAGTGAGTACACAGATGGGTCACAACAAAGACTAGTTGGAGAAAAAGAGACACACCCTCTAACACCAGTTTGTGATGGCATGGATGTCCCCAGTGGGGCGGTATTAGAAGAGTTCTTTTGTTTACCTAGAGAGGAACCAAATAGTGAGACACATTCAGAGAGCTCCTATGGGCAACAGGAAATGGGCCAAAATCGAAGAGAAACAGTGTCTGATTGTCTTATAGATGATGAATGCCCTGTACTGGTGCCCGCTTTTGATGAAAGTGCAGCCCAAGCGCTGAACCCAGAATGTAAAGTCACTGGGGCTGAAAACACGCAAATTGCCTCCAATGAAAATGATTTGGGAATCCAAAATCACACCATAGAATTGGTACCAAATAGCCCAGCAGGACAAAAGCTGGCCTCATCATTTGAACTGAGTTGGGATGAAAGTGATATGATCATTAGCACAAGTGAGACAATTTGCATGTCCACACCAGTCCCCAAGCCCATGAATGCAACCTTCTTTATTTCACCTGTTGAAGCGACAGAGAACTGTAGTAAAGTGGAGGAGAGTAATCAGGAGCTTGCTAAACCCAACCTAGGAAAACCACCAGCCAAAACCCATACCTCAATAGGCAGCAAAGTTAGAAAAAACAAAATCATAAGTTACCCAAGACCAAACTTCAAGAATGTCAAAGCAAAAGTTATGTCTAGACCAGCATCACAGCCTAACGACCCTTCTTTGTCAAAGGTCTCACCCAGGCCTCAGTCGACCAGCACCTCATCACCCCTGCCAGAGTCTTCCTCGAGACGGTTGACAGTTTTGAACAAAAAACTAAGATCTGACTTGAACGCAGACACAAAAGCAGAAATCTCAATTAACAAGACACAGAAGCAGCAATTTAATAAACTCATTACTAGCCAGGCTGAGCATGTTGCAACTCATTCTAAAAACGCTTCCCACAAGGTTTCGAGAGCAACATCTGCCGTGAAATCAAATCAGGAAGATGTTGACAAAGCAAGTTCTTCTAATTCGGCATGTGAGCCTGGGTCCGTGGCTCCAGCTTTTCAGAAGTGCAAAGGCCTCTTCCCTGTGAAAATGGAAAGCACAGGCTGTTTGGAAAGGACGTATGTTTCCAACATCCAAAGGATTAGCCCTGAAAAGAAGGGTGAAAAAGAAAATGGGACACCTCTGGAACAACAAGAACTGAAAAAGGAAGTTATGAATGAGGACTTTGAATATGGGTCTCTGTTTCTGGTAAGTGAAATTTTTGCCCAGGAAATTGAGACATGGACTGGCAATTGGTTATACACTAATTGTGAATAATACTGCAGAACTAGGTGCGCACATTTGCTCTCGGGTGTGAATATATTAGATCTAGTTCTTTCTCTTGTCATTACATTTTACAGTGTTAATTGGAAGCCTGCATGGTGGGGGGGGGGGGGAATTCCTGAAGTTCAGTATTTTGTATTGAGTCTTAGTGTTCTTTTTGATAGGATAGTAAGCTAAAAGAATAGATTAATGTAATATTTGAGTGTAATTAGTTACTTTAAGTTACGGTCAACATCTGATTGTTTTATATTCATGAAAAAAAAGTTTTTTGTAAATGAATTTTAAGATGCATTGAACCACATTTTAGAATTGGCTGGCGAATGCTTGTAAACAGCAGCAACATGTAAGTCACACCTGGTCTCCTACTGAGGAAGCAGCTCTGGGGAGGGGTGTTCTCTCCTGTACACAGGGGGACCCTGGAGTCCGCCTTGGACCAGCTAATGTGACTTTGGGCCAGCCATCTTTTGAAACCCCAAGGTGATGTCTGAGGTCTCTTGCAGTCCAGTCCTTAAATAAACAAAACCCATTTTATTCTTATATAGTAAAAAAGCAGTACGTTTTCTACAGCAACTGTCAGATGTTTGTGGGGAACTTTATAGTTCCATTTAAAGAAAAAAGAATTCATGTACGGCTCAAGGATGTTCTGGAGTTGGACGTGGTTTCACATTGTAGTGCCTTCATTCACTGGCAAAGTGATGTCAGGCAAGTTGCTCAGTCTCCAGGAGGCTCTGTGTCCCTTTCTGTGAAGGGAGGATACACATGACAGCTTAAATTGTTGGAATTGGCTCTTGGGAGGAGGCCCCAGCTCTCATTTCCTCTGTGCAGCATGGGAACACTTGTGGGGTACCCACTGCATGCTGTATATGATGGCAACTATTGGGGTATAGAAAAGAAGGACACCGCCGCTGGCCAATGCTGGTGCTTAGTGCGGTGGGTAGTATTAGAAGATACACCAAAGGGGCATGTTAGTATTAAGCTGGGACTATATATAAGCTGCGCTGCTGCAGGAGGCAAAATGGAGTGGGGGCGGTCAGGGGAGTTCCTGGGGAGATGCTGCGTGAGTTGCTAACTGGAATTTAGAGGGCAAGTGTGTATTGGAAGGGCATTCTGGGTAGAGGGGTAACGTGTACCAAGGTGAGGACACAGGATATCCTCATTTAGGGGACTGCAGGGAGTATGATGGGACCCATGAGTGCTGAACCATAACCAATAAGCTGGAGAAGATGGCAGGGGCCGACTTGTCCCGAAGGGCTTGCCGTGACTTGTTAAGAAGACTTGACTTTATCTGGAAGACAGAGGGAAGCCGCCGAACCTAATTTGGACGTTAGAGAGATAACCGCGGAGTGGAAGATGAATTGCAGGCTGGTGAGACCAGAAAGATCCCGAGGATATGGTTTCAGGAACCCTGCCAAGAAGTGACGCAGGCCTGCCTCGCCGTGGGTGGGGGGCGGAGAGAATGCCATCAGGAAGGGTTTAAGGAGTAAGAAAGAAGCTCCTAGAAATGGCTTTTATTGTTTAAGTCGGGTGTCTGGGAATGTTGTGGTAAATATGGGAAGAGGTAAGTTTTGAGATGCATGGGTAAAATTAGTTTACTTTTAGAAACTGCCTCACATCCTTCTTTTATAAAATGGGATATAATGAAAGTATCGACCTCATGAGGCTGGGAGGATTAAATGAGTTGCTGTGTGCATTTTGAACTTAGAATATATGTTGATCAGTAAGCCACAACAGTATGATTATTGTCAGTGTTGTCAGGTAGAGGTGCCTGAAGGATGCTAAGGGAGCAGATATGGGTAGAAGCTAGAGCTATGGAAAACTGCAGAGAAAGTGCTGGCTTTGGCCTGCGTACTGTGGACATGATGATGTGTAGGTGGTGATTGAAACAGTGGACACAATCATCTAGGGAGAGTATGTGGTGAGAAAAGAGAACAGGGCCAAGGTGAGGACCCTCGTGACAGCTGGCATGGAAAGGTGCAGAAGAACAGAATCCAGAGAGGGAATAAGCAGACAGGTACATGGAGAACCAGGAAGAGAGCTGTGTTGGAGAAATGCAAGAAAGAGGGGCTCATCGTTATTGGATGCCACAGAGAAGACCTATAAGGGCGTGGCCTTCATCATCTTGGAAACAGTTTCACTGTTTGAGGGGGACGGAAGGCACATAATGGTGATTTTAAGAGTAAACTTTGAAGAGTTTGAATTTCTTCATAGTAAGAATGAAAATTAAAAATTCACCCGGCATTTATTTCTCCCAATTCTGGAGGCTAGGATGTCCAAGATCAAGGCAGCAGCAGATTTGGTGTCTGGTGAGAGCCTGCTTCCTCATAGACTGCTGTCTTCTCTCCGTCACCTTCTGTGGCAGGGGATGGCAAGAACATGCTCTGGGGTCCCTTCTGGAAGGGCACTGATCCCATTCACGGGGGCTCCACCCTCATGTCTTAATCAACTTTCAAAGGCCCCACCTCCAAATATGATCACAGTGGGGATTAGGTTTTCAATTGATAAATTTTTTGAGGAGAAGGAACAAACATTTAGTCTATAGCAGTATGTGTGTGTACGGATAGACATGTGTATATATGTGTGTGTGTGTGTATATATATAGATACAGATAAATGTATATGTGTCTATCTGTATGTATGTAAAGATAGGTAGGTAGATAAGTACGTAGGTAGGTAATAGAGATTGATTTTAAGGAACTGGCTAATACCACCTAATTGTGGGGCTGAGAAGTCTGAAGCACATATAGTAGGTTGGGAGGGTGGAAATTCAGGGAAGAGATGACTTCGTAGCCTTGAGTCTGAAATCTGCAGGCTAGAAACTCAGCTTTATTAAGCAATGTCACTCCAATAAATTCAATAAAAATTTTTCAAAAAGACCGCAATGTAGAAACAAATTCTTTTATGTAGCTAACACTGCAAGGGAGTAGCACGGGGAAGGTGTGATCTGAACTAACATCCTATTTTCTTCACAGGGTTCTGCTTCAAAAACTGCAGCCCCCGCAGGTAGGAACACACCCAAGCCTGACTCCTCCAGTTTGAGGATAAAACCTGGTCCAAAAGCCAAAGTGGGGCCTTCTGTTTCCTGTTTGAGGTATAATAGCAACAGCAGAAATCTCAGTTCTGATCGTACCTTATCTTACCAGAGGATCAGGCGTGTGTCCAGTTCTGGTAAGCATAAAATAATTCAGTTGTGCCTTGTAGCAGTTTACAAGTTATTCCGATTTAAAAGCAGGCATGTCAGAAAGCAAAAGGCAGGTTTTGGCTTTAGAACTAATGCATTCTCTCACTGAAGCATGTAGGAAGGTAGAAAAAGAAGTCAAGGACACAGCCCTTGTCTTTTGAGCCATGTAAAGGCTAGTTGGGGAAAGAAATGTGTGCAGAAACCCACTCATAAGCTGTTCCGAAGCATACATAGATAAACATGCAGTTGTCTACCTGTTACATACGCATCGGTTCATTTTTAAATTTTTAAAAAATGGTTACGTGCTTAATAACACTTCATTGCGATTCCCATACGGTGCCCTCACATATGAAAAGATTAGTTTTGTTTTTTTTTAATTAGAAATTTTCAGGGACATAAAAGTGACCAAAAAGTTAAACTTTTCTATATTCTATTCTCTAATAGAATATAGACTATGTTCTCTAATTTCTATATTCTAGTCTCTCTAATAAAATAGGAACTTTTATTTGCATTGGTTTGTATTTTAGCAGTAGTAGTTTTAAAATCATACGAGGTTTATGAAATCTGAGAGCTTCAAGAGTCGTTGTTAAGTGTCTTACTAAATTTGGCAGATGTTACGGATTTCTCTGTTACACATCAGAACAGGAAATGGAGAAGTTGGCCTGTCGTCTCACGGGGACTAAGACCAAAGCCAGCTGGCCATTCCAGCTGACTGAACATCCTCTGCAGGGAACACCCCTTATTTTAACAGGTACCGCCTTGAGCAAATTAAAGCCATGTCAGAAAGATTTAGAAGTAAGTTCCCTTATAAAAATAGTGACTATTAATAAATGGCCTTAAAAAAAAAAAGTGCCGCTAGCATGTGTCCACACCTGTGAGAACATTTTACAGAAATGAACAAAACCAACCGAATCCCTGCGGCGATCTTCACACGCCACACCTTAGGACTTGTCGGCCGTCTTTTCCAGCCCTATCGTGAGCCCTCCTGTGGGAGAAGCCTCTAGTGTGCAGCAGGGTGTCAGGGGTGATTTATTTGGATGCAGGCTGGGCATCAAGGTGCTGAGGTTCTGAGGCACAGACCCAGGAACAGGTATGAGCAGAGGAAGAAAGATGAGCAGCGCATTCATGGTTTGGAGAAACACAAAGGAGAAGCTGCAGACGTTTGGAGAAACGATGATCCTTGTTTTGGATATTGCTGCAGTTGGGGAGTTGAGGTGTAAGTGAGCTCAAAGCTTTGGTTCTTACTGTTGTTGCTGTCGGTAAGGCTCATGGCGTTGGCCAGGGGTGGGGAGCTCCCGTCCTGCTCAGATGTTAGGAGCGCCTGCCTGGAGAGCCGCGGCCGTGGCGGCCTGGCCTGCAGTGAGTGGCCCTGTGCTCCCGCGTCACTCTGGCACCAAGGAGCTACCTGGGCAAGTCCGTTCCCCTCCCTGGCCTTCAGCCTTAGCATCTGTGAAGCATGAGAGTTGAAGAATGTAAGGCCCTGTCAACTTTTGTAGGGATCTTTTTTGGGGCACTTTGGAGCTCCCTTGTTTTCTGAGTAGTGGCTACTGTTGGACCACACAATGCTCAAATCCCAGAAAACCTGAAGTGCTCATACTTTTAAGAAATGAGACCAATACCCACGCGTAGAGGGGGTAGGCAAAAGTAGGTTTACAGTTGTGGGTATGCAAAACAGTTTATTCTTATAGTATTACTTATTTATTATTGTTATTATTATTAATCTACTTTTGGAGATCAGTCCCACCAAAGAATGAATCATTTTTCTTTTAAAGATCTTATTTATTTATTTTTAGAGAGAGGGGATGGGAGGGAGAAAGAGAAGAAGAGAAACATCAATTGGTTGCCTCTTGCGTGTCCCCAACTGGGGATTTAGCCTGCAATCCAGGCATGTGCCCTGACCAGGAATTGAACTGGTGACCTTTCAGTTTGCATGCTGTGCTCAACCCACTGAGCCATACCACCCAGGGCTGAATCATTTTTTAAAGTCCCTTTACTTTATACTGCATAATGTCATGCTGTAAAGAGGCAAAAGTAGGTCTGTTTAGTTTTAACGAAAACACAAGGGAGTTTATGAAGCTTTTCTTAACCCATATAAACAAGATGATAATTAAGTTATACATTCATAGTATTCAATCTGAATTAAAACTAAATTATATTTTACCTCGTGGTTTTCTATATATAAATGGAAAAAAATTAATGTGACCAGGAGCTTTATGGGTTGGTACTGAAAGACTTGATTATGCTGTATTAAGTTTGTACAAAGTTAACAGCAACTAACTTGTTTGGATGCTCACAATAAATTGAGAGGTGTTTGTTGTAGGGGACAGGAAACTTAATCACCACAGAGTTAAAAGTAGAACAGAAATCAAGGAGCAAAAACAATGTGCCTTCAGATCGTTGAGAGCATGTTGCCATTTACTGTACAATGACGAGCTTGTGTGTTAGAAATTGAAACCAAATGGATATCCTCTGTACTCATACCAAGTTACTCTGCTGAAAGGTAAGCGGCAGGAATGTTCCAGCCGGCCTGGGGTTTTCAATAAATTCTTTCAGAGAACTAAGTAGAAATCCAGACCCGGAGTTCAAATGGCCACTTTCTTGAAGCTGTAAAGTGAGTATGAGGAAGAATTGTACCTAAGCCCAGTGGAGCGCTTCCATTTCTCCAAACTGGACATTTCTATGAAACCAGATTATGAGCACATCCAAAGAACCTTGGCTTCTTTGAGGTATGTGTGTGTTTTAAACCACTCAAATAAGGTGAGATAGTGGGGAACCCTATTCCTAACAAGTATTATGATGCCCACGATAGCTGCTGACCCTTCTTAAATGCTTACCCAGTTTCAGGCTCTGTCCTAATCATTTCACCTACAAATTCATTTAACCCACACCAGAGTTTTGTGAGGCTCACCCCCATTTCACAGTGGGGAAAACCTTCAAGATGTGAAATAGTGTGTCAAGGTTATGCAGCTAGAAAGGGGCAGATGTGGGGTTCAGAGCAGGCAGGGGCCCTGCCTCGGTGCTCCTCACCCTCACGTTGTCGTCTCAGGCAACACTACTAGGAGGACCGTGAGTTTTGGTAAATTAAAATCCTTATGCTCAGCAGAATGGTTTAGAAACTGCGGCATCTCTCTTTTCAGGCCTAAGTCTGTTTCCTGTGATGTAAATGATTTTCCATGGCTTTGCCAAGTAATGCAGCTGGGTAGATGCCTGCCTCGTTGGCACCTTGTGACTGATTTGGGCATCTTCGGAGTCCCGCCTGTCCCCGCCCCCAGGTGCAATACCAGTTCCTACCAGGTTGTACGTTACAAATGTGTGTGTTCCTTCAGGCAGACAGGTGATTGCCCTCCCAGCGACCAGCCTGAGCCAGGCAGGATGGCAGAACTTGTAGAGAATACACCATCTTCCCTGTGGATCCTCCACCCTACCCCGCAAGGCCAACGGCATGTTCATGCAGCCACCACGGAGCGTTGCAAAGCGATGAGTAAGGGGCGTGGAAGGAGGCCCTGTGAGCTTTAGGACCTTGGGGGAAAAAAGAATGTTCAGGGACTTCCCTGATTGTACCAGCACCTAAAGAAAGGCCTCGTGAATGAGCTTTAGTTTCCTTCTGGAGAATGAGAAAGAACATTTCAAAAGAGTACACCTTAGCTTTAACTCAGTTTATTGTGGGTTAATAAGATAAATTCCTCCCGAACCAAGAGTAGGTCCCAAACTTGTAATGACTCGCCTATCCTGTAGGTTTCTTTTCTTAGTGCTTTCACAAACAGGTTTTTGGTTTGTTGTTTTTTTGGTTTTTTTTTTGGTGTATATTTAGTGTTAAAGGGAATTTAAAATCTTTTCGATTTATTTTACACCATTTTAGCCTTTTGTAGGCAAGAGTTTGAGAGGGAGAGCAAGCACAATTATGGAAAATTTATTCACATGTTTGCATAAATTAATTATTAAAAACCAGAAATTATCACCTAATACTTATTCTAAAAACTATAATGTGTTGCTCATACATGTTTTTATATTTGTATATAATTAAAACATCTTAAAGAATATATCTCAAGGCTTCTTTCCATAAAAAAATAATAGTAATAATGTGTTTTAAGTGCCAACGAGGTGCCAAGCCCTATTCTAAGCTTTCTAAATGCATAATTATATTTAATTCTTATAGCTCATGGGGTATAGACACTACGATTATCTCCACTCTACAAATGAAGAGCTTGAGTTTTTGAAAGCCTGAGTAACTTGCCCGGAGTTACCCAGGTAATGGTGGGGACAGGGAACCAACCAGGCGAGCTGGTCCTGGGCCTCTGCTCTTAACCGCTATTGCACGTGTGCACAGACGTGACACACTCCCTCGTCCCTTCAGCTCTTGAGCGCCTGGTGTGCCAGCAGCGCCGTGAGTGCCAGGAGGGAGGCGTGCACAAAGGAGATGGAGTCTTGCCCTTGCAGAGCTTAAATTCTAGTCAGGTGAGTCAGAACATGAACTAGTACAACATTTACTATGTGAGATGAAGATAAGGGATGAGGAGAAAACCAAAGCAGTGAAGGGAGTTAGGTCTTTAAATAGGGTCGTCAGAAAAGGCCTCAAGGAGCTGGTGACATTTGAGTCAACACATGAAGGAGGAGAAGGAAGGAAAGATTTGGATGACAGATGGAAGGACTTTGCAGGCAGAGGGAGCAGCAAGTGCAGAGTGGAGGTGAGGCAAGATGGCAGTGCCTGCGGAATACTGAGCGGCCCAGCTTGCGTGGAGGGGGCTGCGGAGCGAGGAGGAGTCCTACTGAGCAGCACCTTGCAGCCGCCTGGTAGACGCGTGTCTTTCTTCCTTACTAACGTCATCACTGTAAATTATCGATCATTTTGCAAGCATTCCACATCATTCTTCTTATTTGGCAAGGAATTCTGGGGAAGATTGCTTTATGGAATGACAAACTCTGTCGTTACGCAGTCTCTCACATTTTTCCATTCAAGAAGTGTTTTGAGGGCTTGCTGTGTGCTGGG